TTCTCTTCCATGAACCTCTAGTTAATTGACGAGTGCCCGATAAGCCTTGAAAGGAGTGGTATGCGGAGTAATGGGTAAACAAGCAGTTCGCAAGCGACATAAATAACTACTACGGTAGGAACTTTACTTCGAGATCTTTCTCAATATTTTCCTTTCTTTTCGTTATCTAGTGGCTGATCAGGGTAGAATGTGCCACATAGCTAACGCAAGCTTTCAGCTTATCTTGCCGCTGATTTTTCTGAGACTCAGAAATGTTACAGAAATGCTAACTCGGAGCGACCGTATAAATGGAGGTTTGAATCGTCCGCTCCTGCTTTCGCTACTGTGGCCGCGTCTCAGCCGTCTTCGCAATAATCTAGTCGTCGTGCTTCAAGAAGGTTATTCGATCTGCTACCAATAGATTTCTGTAAGGTCATTCAACAAACTGATTGTGCTTCTTGGGCAGTTACTCAAGAACCGCGTGGCACTCAAGAAATTGAGTTTAGGCGAGCAAGAATCAAGACTGCCTCAAGACATCAAGACCGGTCAAGGAAATTTAAAAATTGGTGCATCGGCTGGGAGTCGAACCCGGGCCGTCCGCGTGGCAGGCGAGCATTCTACCACTGAACCACCGGAAACCGGTGTATACCCTTGATCTCAAGAACAATAGTCAGGCTGGCGAAGGGGTTGCTATGTATCCTATTGCAATCAAGGAGAAGGCATACCCACACAAAACAAAATTAATAGGTGAATATAAATAGCAAGGTAGATTAGGTCAATAAAAATATTAAGGCAAATTGGGATATATTATATTACAATAATTTATTATTAAACATTGGATGGCAGATTTGGGGATGCAAAAACATTGATATCCTTTAGGATCAGAAATGGCAACTTCGAAGAAGTCGATGAAGATGGTGTATCAAGAAGATTTCGAGTTCCTATTAGACCTCGGAAAAGACTCGGTAGACGTCAATAGACTAGAAGAGGACATCAAGAAAACGTTGAATAAGTTCCACCTCTTCAAGCTCAAAGCCAAGAAGTTAGAGGACGACTGGATGGACTTAGTCATCAGAACGACGGGTTCGACGGATAGCGGTGGCGAACTGGTCTCCCGGGTCGGTTCCATCTTGCGATCAGCTGAAGTCCTAAGAGGGAAGCCCTATGGGCAACCCAGCGGCTCATCATGATTGACAATACCGTTGCGAGAAGAAGATGTTCACGATACAAACGTAAGAGACCTGATTCCGGTGGCTGTCACTCGACTGGATAAGCTTGGAGTCTTCATGGCCGAAATGGAACATGAGCTCAATCAAGTGGAGAAGAAGGCCGAAGAAAAATTGCTACCAGCTGCACAAGCAGTCCATAGTATCGACCGACGACTACAGAAGATCGAAGAAACCCTGGAAGAACTGAAAAACTCCAGCAGTAACGCCGAAGTACTGCCCAAGAAACGGAAATTCCAAGAAGAGGTTGAACCAGAAGACACGAGCAAGAATCCTCCCCCCTTATCGGACGACGACTACCTGGACCGGCTTATCATAGATACAGCGAGCGACGATTCCAAGGACGAAGAACCTCAAGTTGACGATAAAGCAAGCGAGAGCTCCAAGGATGGTGCAGAAGCCGACGCCGGGAACGAAAAATACTCCCTATCGGCGGCTCTTCAGGACTATGCCTGCCGCAAAGCACGGTTGGAAGATGAGCTAGAAAGACTAGAATTTGGGTTAGAACATTTACCGAAACGAAGAATCGGAGAGAACCCTACTGGAAAACCTCCCACATGACCTTGTGCCTTCTGTCACCAAGTGGGCCTACACTTTTCTGACTCCTCCCGGACATTGTGTATGGACAAGACAGGTACCGCTATGCGGACGAACGAAACCTTTGTTTCTTTTGCCTCCAGTACTGCGAAGGAACGTGCAATAGAGGAAATAGGCACTGATTCTACTGCGAAGTTGTATATGGGACTATCTTGGAATTCTTGATGCCGGAAGAAGGTCATCACAGAGCTCTGTGTACTATTCCAGACTCCAAGGACAGAATCAGGCTCGAGATCAGGGGGTCAAGCGTGCGTGGTGAGAATCCTCGACACGTCGCAGGGGGGGGCGGGGTCGTATCGGCCGCTGGATGAGAGATCGAGCCATTTTGGGTGCAGTCGGGATCATCACCGTGGAGGACAAACATCAAGGGTGAGGTCGATGCCAGGCCAGAGGATTTCCAATGAAAATGATAATTTCACCCACACAAAATTTTCGTGATTCTGAGAGCGTCCGGTATTTTCTTAGTTACTCAGTGTTTTTATCACCACACAAGTTAAAGAATCTGAATTTCGCACGCTTTCAAGAGATATTTCATCTTTCAAAAAGACCGCGAATCTGAATGGATGTGAGGCACACGGCGCATCCGAAAAAAAGGGTCTAGTTGTTGCGTGCGCTTGAACTTGAACCGGCTCCTTGGACAAAACCTCAATTCGAGAACAATCGAGAGAATTCTGAATGTGTCCGTGCGCATTTACAGAGAGGTGTAACCATTCAACACTGCCGTTAACGGACTCTTCAGAGGTTAATTTATAAACATGCAACCTTTAAAGTTAAGAAACGCTAATCAATCACTTTTCTTGAAAGAGAAAAGCAATGATTCCAAATCTGACTTACTTTAGTACATACGCCCTTAAAAGGATATACAGCCGTTGAAATAGTGCCAAATGTAGCGAAAAAGTACTATCGGCGGTACTCGTGCGAAAATCCTCAACGTAGCCGTTTTTTTAATACTGAACGTTTGGAGCAGTTCTAGCTAGCATTTGTATAGAGCAAAATTGCTAAGTTTCTGATGGGTATTCACTTTTTGGATTGGATGAGTTTGACGGGAGTTATGGCTTAGAAAATAAAAAAACCCGCACTCATCACAAATTTTTTCTCGTTAATTTTGCGAAATCCTCAACGTGGCCATTTTTGAATACTGGACGTTATAAAGCCTGCTTTGCAACGGTGTTTAGTAGAGAAAATCTTAGTTTGATATGACGTATAGCTTTTTGAATTTGACGGAAATGAAGCAAGTTATTGCTCGCGGAAAGTGTAAAAACTCGTGCTCGTCTCAAATTTTCTCGTTATTGATCTAAATTTGTAATTTCTTATAACTTCCTGTATTTCAAGTACTGATTAGAAGAAGCTTTTCACAAAACTTCCAAATCTGCTTTCAGATTGAAAATTCGTCATATTTTGAAGAAAGTTATATCATGTGAATATTTGTTCAAATTTCAATTCGTAAATAAGCTGCTCCACGGTTAAGCCTAAGTCCAGTCAACACACAGCTGGCGAAGGCGGTTAAAAAGCTTCTTTCAACTGAAGGGCTACGTGCAAATTGAGAACCACAATCTGTGATAGTACTAGAATTGGTAAGCTTGTGGAGGAAATAAATTAAGAAGAATATTTTGTAATAGTATGCCATTTTTAGTGGCTAGTTTGTCGGTTTTCTGGTCTGTTTCTCGTTTGGTTCGTTTGGTAGGACTCATCAATAATGATTATTCTTGACTTTTGTCACTTTTTTAATTCTTAAGCGAATTTTTTTGTGGCGGGGTGGGAGCAGGGCATTTGAGCACTTTTGGGGGAGAATCAAACAAGCTTTTCAACCTTTTCATAGTTCGGCTTTTGAAGGGGGTTGTTTCATGGACTTCGGCCTCGGCGGAGGGGGGTGGGGGGGGGGGTCGTATTCCAATTTTCCTCAACGCCTCGCTTGACCCTGCTTTAGATATGGCGAGTCCGAAAGGAGCTCAAGAACTTAACACCAATAATCAAAGTGGGCCGGGAGTATCGCAAGGCGACCATAATACTAATACGTAGGGAACTTTACTTTCGAGATTTCCAATATTTTCCTTTCTTTTCGTTATCTAGTGGCTGATCAGGGTAGAATGTTGCCAGTAGCTAACGCAAGCTTTCAGCTTATCTTGCGCTGATCTGAGACTCACAGAAATGTTACAAAATGCTAACTCGGAGCGACCGTACAAATGGAGGTTTGAATCGTCCGCTCCTGCTCTCGCTACTGTGGCCGCGTCTCAGCCGTCTTCGCAATAATCTATTCGTCGTGCTTCGAGAAGGTTATTCGATCTGCTACCAATAGATTTCTGTAAGGTCATTCAATAAACTGATTGTGCTTCTTGGGCAGTACTCAAGAACCGCGTGGCACTCAAGAAATTGAGTTTAGGCAAGCAAGAATCAAGACTGCCTCAAGACATCAAGACCGGTCAAGGAAATCTAAACACCGTGTGGCAAAAGATGAAGCATGTGAGATCACAGAGTGAGTGGCTTACTCACTTTGGAGCTCTCTACCCTCCAAAGGCCTAGTCCTTATCGCGATCCAATCAGTGAGAGGGTGCAATCGAGCAGGAAATAGGCGCAAATAGAGCCGACAAAAACGAACGTTATGTTCGCATGCATGTAAATAACTATTAAATTCAAATCGAATTTGGTGAAAATCAGTCATAGCGCCACCTGGCGCCAATTTGGCGTCAGCGCCAAAAGTACCTCACAATCAGATCAGGATCCTCGATAATCCCCATTCGAAAAGTTTCAGCGAAAAAAATTGGTCCGTCTCATTCCTACTGAGGTTTTAGTAGTGCAATAGTGCCGCGTTTGGTCACGGTAGCCGTTGGGCGCAATCGCACATCTCCGAGCTGGACGAAATTTTTCGCCATCATTGTGGAATATGACATCAACCAGAATTGTGCATAGTTAAAAAAAATAGGGGCAACACTGCACCCTATTGTATAACATTAACAGAAGCATAACAAAGGGGAGAACCAGCTCCAAAGAAAATTCCATGAAAGAGTAATTCTCATTTGCCACTCAGGAGCTTGCAAAGTTGGCGGCCACTGCCCTTCTGTGCTGACCATCCTCTCCCTTCTCTCATGGCCCCTTCTTTAATTATTTTTCCTCCATTTTCTTTTCTCTTACTTATTGGAAATTTGCTTTGTATTTGTCTTGCACTTGTGGTAAAAAAATTTCCGATAAAAATCATCATAAACATACGGTAATGAGCTCTTTAAGAGCAGTAGACTGCTGAGGAGTCAAGTTATGAACCATGTTTTGGAAGATTTCCGGCTCAGCCTGCTCGAATTCTGAAAGCCACAGGTTTATGCAAAATCGAAACGAAACATAATTAGGGAAAAAATGTGAGAATCGCCCTCATACTCACTTTCCATGGTGTTTTTAAAGTATACGAACACATCTGGAGCCGTATCTTCATCAAAGGCAATCTTGAATTGCTCAGTATCCGTTTCCTAAGAGAAGTTATACAGAACTTTAACGTGGCATGCAAACAAGATATTTATAACATCTCAATGACAAACTTCGCAAAGTGACGTTCCATCTCCGCTCTCGCCACTGCCATCCTCATCAAAGTTACCACCAGTAAAGGTCTTGATGTCCTTCGACATGGCATCGATGTAGTCAAAGGTCAGCTGAAATTTATGAAGTCACTTGATCGGGCATACGAGCAATTCGTCGCGACAGGCACTGACATTTTAAAGGCAAAGGTCGGGCTCAGGCACGCTAGAGAAGTTATTCCCGTGTCTGGAGGTTCCATGTGGGTAGCTGCACACATTGCAGCAACTTCTCACTTTGAAAAACCCCGTTAAGGCCCCGGGCGTTCAGTTTCAATCTAGGGCCGCTCGGTCAATTTAGGACCGCCCAACTCCGGAAGTGGCGCTTGGCTGGCGCAACGTGTGAAAGGTGAAAGTCGTGTAGGTTGATTGCCGTATCAACTGATAGAACGACTGGCATCTCCAGAATGTTTGTACATGCCTCTTTCCCCAAGGCAGCCTTCATTGCTAGCGGAAAAGAGGGTTTTGTTAACGGCACTGTCGACGGTTTTTCTCATTGTCGTTCCACTTCGCATCTCTATACTCAGTTTCAATCGCCATACCCCCTTATTGAGCCCGACTATAATACCCCCTTATTGAGCCCGACTTTTGCCTTTAAGAATTATACAGAACTGACTCATCACTAGTCCTCGCGCAATATAAGTTTTAGAGGTATGGTAATGAGGACCTCATTACCATTCCTCTAGGAACCTCTAATTTCGTCTATGCAATGAGATGCCAAGAGAAACTAATGCCCTGTGACAGGCCTAATGTGTCAACCTCGTCGATTTCATCATCGTCGTCTGATAGGTGCTCCGGAAGCTTTCGGCGGTTTAGGCTTTTCTTCTTTTTTGTAGTATCCACATCATCATCGCTTTCCTCATCTGAATCTAAAACGAAAAAGTGAATATTTGAAAAGCAATACACCTCAAGACATCAAACATTCACTGCTACCTGAATCAGAGTCGTCCTCGTTTCGATTCTCAGCTTGAGCCTTCAAAGTTCGTTGAAGATTGTCGAAAAGTGAAATGGCAACGTCAATCACCTGAAAATGCGCCTAAGTCTACTGTGGAAATCCGTGAATCGAAATGCTCAGTGTTGGAAGCAAGGTCATTCATCGTGCTCGACCGATTTCAAAAATCTACAACCCGCCATCTCGGAAAGGGTCCCGAGCAGGGTCAACCGTCCGTTCGAACTGTTCGAACGTAGGGGTCGCATTTTGGTCGGAAGGGGGTCGCAATTTCGAGGACTGCCAGCTGCAGGCGCGTGCGTGGCGCATCCGAGGGCAAGAATTGTTTGTGCAGGCCGCATAAGATTCGACTAATTATGCACAGAGAGACAGTTTTAGGCAAATTACAGTGCTTTATTAAGGAGTAAAGAACAGTTGGATGCATCCCTATGAAAGGTTTGACTTCTCGAGGCTGAAATTAATGTTCTTCGGGGTCCTAATTTTCTGAGGACGATTCTCCCAGACAACGGTAAAACACAAAAGAAAGCAGAAATCTCGTAGTCTTCAAAAATGTCTTCGTCCCTCCACAGCAAGTTTTTTGAAGGAAGTTATTATTGCTGAAAGCTCAAAAACTTGCATGTGCTGCTCAAAAACACGGTAACAAAACGTTCGAACGTGTGATTTTCTCGGAAAATGGATTTTGAAAAACGATTGGTGCTCACTAGAAAGAACAAGTCCTGCGCTTTCACACCATGAAAAAAGTGCATCACAAAAATGAAAATGAAGTGAGTTATGCCCGCTTAGAGCCCAAAAACTCGCGATTTCAAAAAGTGTTCGGCAAAACCCCCCAAAATGTTCGAACGTGTGATTTTCTCGGAAAATAGGTTTTGAAAAACGGTTTGGTGCTTTTCAGAAAGAGCAAATCCTTTACTCTCACCTTATGAAAAAGTGCATCACAGAAATGAAAATGAAGTGAGTTATGCCCGCTTAGAGCCCAAAAACTCGCATTTTGCACGAAAATGTTTCGAACGGGACACTTTTTGAAAAAGGGACAATCACTAACTTTTTTATAGTGTTTTGATAGAGAAATATTTGAAGTTCTGAAACTTTTTAATGATTTCAAAGTGTCGCATACAAAAGATTTTATGGGCTTCGAAGTTGAAGTGCCGCTTCTTAGAATTTTGGGTTTCCGCTTCTAACAGAATACTTTCCGAGAGTTAGGCACTTTTGTAGTTTTCGGAAGCGCACCTCAGGCACAATCAAAATTCTACACTCACACAGTCAAAAAATTATTGTCCCAAGAAAGTTATTCTCCTCTGAAATTTTTTCTTCGCCGCGTCCCGTTCTTCCAGCGCCCGGCTGATACCTGCCGCGCTCCAATGCCGACGCGACGACGCGCAGATGCTTTCTGGCGCAACGGATTCATGTCTAGCACTTCGCAACTGGACCCCCTCGAGAGGTAGGGGGTCGCAAAAATCCCGAAAATGTTTGAACGTGACGTGACGGTTGACCCTGGTCCCGAGGCCCCCTTTTTAAAAACCATCCATACGTGTATAACCACAGCAGTACCCGGCAGGGGTTAAAATAGATGAAGTATTCGCCTTTGATCAACCCCTTTTTGGGCACGCATTCTACTCCCATTTGACACACTCGTAGTGGCACTCGAATGCGATTTGCCCCATACAATGATTTCCGGGGCCAGCCGATCAGTGGGTTGGTCTTTCGAGACAAGTCTGGTACCAATTAATCGACCCCGAAGGAGTGGAAGGCCGCCGTGGACGAGCACCGTCCAGAACATCCCCGGACCACACGCGTGATAAGCACGCCACTTGCCATTACACCACTTTCAACCCAGAAGGAGTGGAATTATAACTTTGCTTTGGTCGATGGCGCATCCTCATAGTCAAGAATCAGGGGTCACATCCAGAGATGAAGTTTTGCACTCCGCCTAATACTGCTGAGGTCCCAGAATGATGAAATGCTCTCACTGTGAGCAAGAACTGTAAACAATATTCATCAGAACCGATGTTTGGAACTGCTACTAACAAAACAAACAGTGTCTAATTCTACTTGAATTCCCAACTTAAAGCAACAATCCAGGAACGAATTCGCTGGTAAGGACCACCTATAATGACGTTGCAGGTGAGAAGTTGGTCAATGGAGATAGAAAAAGTTAGCTTCCCCAATTTCTTTTCATGTCCTCCCCGTAAACACAGAAAACATTCTCGTGGCAGGGGCTCTGGGGACAAGGGACTTCCCCGCGGCACGTCTTTCCTGTCCTCAGGCGCGTCTAGGGTGAGGTATGTGTGAATATGGAGACGAGTTGTCCCTTCCGATAACCTGCCCGTAGTTCATTGGCCGCTCCAGTGACTGGCTGGCAATATAGCCATGCGATGCTTTGCAAATACCATACAATTGCCAGCAATCGAAAGTGAGCGCTTCAATTTGCGGTCTTATGGAATCGAACCTACATACAGCGTCGTGTGTGGCGTCGCCGCAACAACCGCTTAGTCGAGGCTCAGCGACTCTGCACCAGGCGAATGTTGGAGCATATCCGGCCTCTTATGGGTGATCCGCCCTCTCCAAGAGGGATTCGACCCCATCCAGCGCCTTTTAGAGGCTAGGTTTTGAAATTAAAGACATTTCCTATAAACTTTAGTGGGGGTGGGGCATGTTTTGACCGCCTAATGACCAAGTAGTTGAAACCCTGCCTGAACTGTTGCTTTAACAAGTACGAGTATCGCATTTGAAAAAGCGCGCGCAAAACAATATAAATAACAATATTGCACATAGAAGTACCTTTTGAGGATTTGTGTTGATTGTACTCGGCCTTGATTCCCTGGGTAGGTTGAAGAAGGCACAAATTCCAAACAATGCCATTTTCCTGTACAGAAATAAAAATTTTCGAACGTCTTCATGGAAACAAAACGTCTAACAACGTCATTTCATGAAAAAAAAAGCGTCTAACATGAAGTAACCTGTTGTGGACACCTTTGATGTCCTTAGAACAAGCGAGTAGCTCATCGCAAACGTAATCAAGAGGATTTGGGTGATCCGGTGCAATTTCAGCTAGAGCACGTAGGGCTATCTCATGAGACGTGTACAAGGCAGCAACGACTACCTAAAACCGTTAAGCTTGAATTGATAAGTCAGTAAAGTGAAGGCCTTTCAGCGGAGTAAAACTAGGGCTAATCAAGAAAACTCGGAACATGTAAGATCTAAAAACCAATGGGCTTCGAAACGTCTATTTCCAAAGATTAAACAGATGGTTGGACTAAGGTGAGCCTGGTGTCAGGAAATCCGGCTGATATGGCTACTCTTTCGATGGCCGACGTAACCCTCAGAAATCGTAGCATCAAGAACACTTACAAGGAGAAGGAGAGGTTTCAATTCAGTGAGGCCTTCTCCAATCGGTTGTGTGAGGCGTCGAAGTACCAACATAAGCATCGTGGGTATGGCCTTAATATTTAAGCAATCTTAGAATCTAGTATGAGGATAAATTTGATCGATACTATTGAATTTCTACTCCATATTACTAGACCAAACACCCGTACTTGAGAAATCATCTGAGCAGCAGGACCTCCACATTGAAGAAGAATACATTCCATCAATTTTGCGGCAAACAAATGGTTCTCATCTCCGTCGTCCTCATCCTATAAATACATAAAGTTGTTAAGATGACCACTCGAGTAGATGGTGAGCAGAGCTGTCTCTAGATCTAAAAGGGGCCGCAGTCCCATGAGGGGACCAAAGCCTTTCTAAAACAAGACAGTGGAAGCTTTTAGGTACCGGATATCTTAGTGTCGTTTTTTCACCACGAGTTTCGGACCACCAATATTTTAACTCAGAATCCGGGATGTGAAACAGCATATTCATCGAATTACTCATTAGCACTTTCCCATTTACCTGTACGACTGGAAACCTCGTACGATTAAAGCTAGGAAGTTTTTGAGCCAAAAAAGAGAGGTAGGTCGAACTTGACATCATCTGACAAATCATCCCTCTCACTTGCTAAAAAGTTAGGCGTGGACAAAAGCGGTATACAGTTAGCTAGAGTAAGGTCTATACTGTATGGTGGAAAAGTTATAACTTACCAGCTCAACTGGACAATTTTTCACGGAGTCTTTTTTGCCACATAGGGTCAAAAACGCACCCTCTTTTAGCACACGTGAGTAGCAGATGAGCTTATTTATCAGAATTGTTTGTGCAATCAACTTCGTTAAAGCGTTTGTGCATCATCGATCAGTCACTGTTAAGGTGTCCTACCATTTCAGCACAAGACTGGTGCAACCCCGTCTCGACTGATTTAACTAGGGCCACCTTTTTGACGACGAGCATCACTTCGAAGACTTCACTGTCTTTCGAGAAAACTGAATAATTGATGAGCATTTCGAATGTTAATATTCCCTCTAACAAATGCAATGTTGGTTTGGTGGGCGCAAGTTTTAGCTTTCAGCAAGAATTTTGAAGCATTTGGTACACACATGAGAATTTGCACACTGGACCCAGGAATTTTCAAAAAAAAAGTATTAAAATTGGGGGAAGTGAAATTGTGAACCAACACCAGAAAACAATAAGCAACATAGTTTGCAGTATTAATGAGCAAAGAGGACTTTCTAAGATATTGGTTTTCCATAGTAAACGCCCCCAAAACTTCCTGAACTCAGAAAAGCGACACTAAGATATCCGGTACCTAATAAATAAGGGGATTCTGCGACAAGAAGAACTTGAAAAGCTGGGCAATTTGGGTATCGCAGTACTCATCAAAGAATACGGATGAAAATGGGTTTATGGTAGATGCGCTGACAATGACACGCGACACGATTTAAAATGCTTAAAACGATCGAGCCATTCACTTCCACGGTCGGCTGATTCTACTAAGCTTGAAAATGTGAGCAATATGCTGGCTAGCCCACTAACTGAAACACATTCTTGTGCTTTCACGATCACGCTATTGCAAGAAGGACCATTCGTTTCATTCTATACTGAAATCTGCTGAAATCTGGTATTTTCTACAGTTGAAGCTCCGTGTTGGGTCCAGTTCTATGAGACGCATAGTTTCAAGCAAATGCAGTAACCCAAAGTGTCAAAAAGAACATAAACAAAGCCAATAAGTCAGACGGAAGGTCACGAACACGTGATAAAAAATATTCTAAACAACGTGGACACTGGAAATGGGAGAAAAAATACCATAAAAAGCCCATACCTGAAGGGAAATCTGGCACATGTCCATGAAAGCTTGCAATCGCTCCGGGAATGCAAGGAAGCTCTCAGTATCAGTGACAAGGTACAGATGAAGCACATGGAAAACATCTAGAACACAACAGCTCTTGAAACGATGCCGCTTGAAAATAACACCTTTCCTGAGAGAGAAACCCTGTGACTTAATTTTTCCAGAACTTCGTCCTAAATGCGAACAAATCGGACAAAACGAGATCGCTTTTTGAAGGAATAGAGAGAAATACGTTGGGCTAAAATTAAATCCTGCGCAAGTCCAAGCCTTTGCAAGGAGCTACAGGGACCACCACTACGGCCCTCAATTGAAACGATCCTCCGCGGAAAAATCATGGTTCTATCTCACCCATGAGTCACTGGTTTTAAATCCATCGTCTACGATAAGAACGAACAGAATGAAAAAAAAGCTATTTGTTTTGATAAACAACTCGAAAAACCGAAAGGACTGCTATACGTGCCAACTTGCGCCGGACATCTGTAACAAATGCTGGCGGCGGGCACGCTTTCACCTGGTTTACGGAATGTCTTTTACTAGCAACTCTTTTTGACCTTATCACTTATTGCACTGACATCTCACACTTCTACTGCATCATATTCTATCGAGTGTTTTCTTTCTATTCTTCAAAATCGAACGCTTTAACGAGTTCTTTCATTAAGTTGCCTGATACGTAGTCGTCCCAAAGCTCACTGCTTTCCATGCCACGCCTCTGAAGCCGCGCGACCCACCTTCGACCGTCCAGAGTGTGATTCCCGTGAGTTTGTTTCTCTCCGTAAACTAACTTTTTGAGCTTGAACTGTGTGTTTCCTTTACTGATCACAACTGACACATTCATGCTGGGAAGGAATGCAGGAATTTTTCGGGAAGGATTCCCTTAAGACGACAGTGCTAGGCGCATGCGCTTCGCACCCAGACATTTCTTTCGCACATACACCACAGTTCTCCCATTTTTTGTATTCACCTTATAGATCACATCATAGCATGACTAAAAACAAAGGGGTCCATCAAATGGTAAAATATTAGGTTATTGCATTATAAATGTCGTCTTTGGACATACCACAAAATTTGTTGGAACAGCAACAATTCGGCATCTCAGAAGGGATGGATAGGGATGACTACCTTATTTGCCAGGCTTCGCCATTGCTCACGCAGTGGCTCGACTTCTTTCTCAAAGAATCGTAGTAATTGTGAAAAGGTAAACATGGACACCCAGATTTCGAATTTTTTGTTAACTCCAAACTCCTTACATTTCAAGACGTGCCGTGCTGCCTCGGATGCACAGCACATACAGTAGCGGTCAAAAGTTTGGAAACTTTGTTATTTTTGATCTAGTGTAGCCAATAGACAATGAGATTGTCCCATATTCACACATTTTATACAGAATCAAGTGTAGATTACGATAAGCAACATTATTTTTTGAAAACAAGATTCCCTGAAAAATAGGAATTTTTATAAGAAATGGAGCGTCAAAAGTTCGGAAACATCTCAATTCCACAACGAATCCGGCAAAAGAGCTCTCGAATCTACATGATAAATGAACCATTCGATGACTAGCTGTGAATTTCTATGTCGGCGTCGTTTTTATTGACACGGAGTTGACTATAAAATAATTTTAGGACTTTAAAGTCGAACCCTGCACACTGTGAACTAAATCGCATTGTTTGGTGAGATTCCTAACTGTAATGTGGGTTTAGCGACATGCCAGTTCTTCCGCGGGATGTAGAACTCAAATGGACTTCAGATGTCGACTTGGTCGCTTCATAACAGCTTTTTTTGTGAGGAGGTAAGCCTGCATTGGGTCATTTCCACGATAGAAAACCCATCTTTTCCGGCCAGTTCTGACTATCGAAGACAGGCATTGCAATCTATAGACTGTTCTTGTACTTAGCCTAACCACATTTTGCCGTATATATAGAACTGGAGAATCGGAGAATGGTCGGACACATCTCCATCCATGGCAATACTTCCACTATTCCTGAATGTTGGGATCTTATACTCTAAATGGGGTTTCCATTTGACCGAACACTTCACAGAGTCCACAACATCATTCTTAGGAAGGTAGAAATCCTGCTCGTCTCTGGGCAAAGTTTTACCTCTCGCCTCAGGTCGATGTGAGCCGTTAATGTGTGCAAGCCAGTTGGACCATACTGCTCTTGAAGCAACGATTTTTCCTTGTTGGGACATCATACGTAATATTCACCAGGTCGTGGCCGATGTTGGGCTATGCTTGGCTTTCATACGATTAGTTTCAAACCAGGAAAAATAGTCTTTTAGTTGGGTATATCGGGGGTACGGGGGTGCCAACCACCCTTCGAAGTATTTGAGGAGGGTCAACTTTGTTGTGAGAATGCTTTCTTGTGAATGATCATCCGTCTTATGCTTACTTGGCTCCAAAAACACTAAAAACTCTCGATTTCGCAGAGACTGAACTACTAAGAAACAATTTCTATTTCCCATTCCGGATTGCAGGGTTTAAAAAAGGACCCCCATGGAAAAACTGCTTCCTTTGCATATAAATTCATTTTGAAATTACACATCACTCAATGGTTGAACTAAAATTAACAGAAAAAAGTGAACACTGAAGAGTACTAATCATATTGATGTGGGAAACAAAAAGTTTCCAAACTTTTGACGCGCCATTCCTTGATAAAAATCTTATGTATCAAAGATGATTACGGATTTTTAGAAATGATCCCTTACATCGTATTTCATACACTGATTTTGTATGTCATATCTAAATTTGAGGCGATTTCGTTATTTGTCGGCTGCGCTAGATCAAAAATAAAAAAGTTTCCAAACTTTTGACCGCTACTGTAGATGGAGTGTGACACCAGGTGTTTCGCAGTGAAGTCAAATGTTTTCAGCTTGGTCTATCACTTCTTTGCTGGTGTTTTTTTTTCGTAAAATGCAGCTCTTTCGTTGTGAAGTAACACCATAACCATTGTTCTTCTTTCCACTGAGCCAATGCATGGTTTGATGAAGGTCAATTTTGTTTACGAAAACCTGCCGTGACCGTGTGAGCTAAACTCATCCCCTCAAAAAGTCGTAGAATATTTTCGTGTACACACAGGAATTTCGGACAGCCATCAAAGAAAAATTTCAGTAAAAAAAACAAAAAGTGATAGTGGCAACGAGTAGTCGCTTTTATACTACTTGATTTCCTCTTTTGAATGGATGGGTAAGAACCTTTGGATGTTTGGACACAGTCGAGTGCTGTGAAGCAAAATCTGCTGCGACATGTATAATGCAACAACCTAATGTATTCCCTGTACAACACTTGATGAAGGTGTTCCAAGCAGGGTCAACCGTCACGTTCGAACATTTTCGGGATTTTTGCGACCCCCCCCCTCTGGAAGGGGTCCAATTGCGACCCCCACCAATACACAATTGCGACCCCCTGATACAACACGAGCCATCCCCCCACCGCGAGCTTCCCTCTTCTATATGTATTTGAAATCTGAACCTATTGACACAGCCCACAAACCTACCTAAGCAACTCCCGAAAATCCGCCTACTTTTCCCCAAAAAGCCGTCGAGCGGGGGGGGGATAAAACAACCACTGAAACGGCAAACGCAACTTTTTCACTTCACACACCTCTGCCCTGCCTCATGACCAAAACACGCAATGCGACCCCCTTTTCCCTCCCAGAACCCAAATGCGACCCCCCCCCGTTCGAACTGTTGAACTGTTCGAACGGACGGTTGACCCTGGTTCCAAGTTCCACGAATTTGTCAGTTCAGTTGAGTCTCATTTTTCTTATATTCTCACAAAATTGTCCACAAAAAAAGTGTAGACATATCCGTATGGCAAGATATATGTTTTTGCTGAAATAATCGCGCAAGAAGTCTTGTTCATATAATACTTTATATACTTTCGAGGTCACTGTAGCAAGATCAACTAAATTGTCGTTTTAAATATGTCATTGTAGAATTTTAATAATGTATCTCCTTATAGCATCAACACACAATATTGTTCGAATTAGCACATTGGTCCAAGTACTGAGGATATACAGCTCAAAATCCACGGATGATAGTCAAGGCAGCGACACACGCCAAGTCTGAACGCTTTCACGCGGCGTCCTGGCGCACTGTCGTCGACGCGTTGAAGCAGCTTCTATGGCCTGCGTACAGACAACAGCTCATACTGCTCCTAGCAGCCACGCCCATCGTGCGTCAACTTGGAACAGATAGGTCCGTGAGGCTATAGATGCCAAAGTACTCAGGCTCCACGGGTGAGTAATGCTGGAGTAGCAGCGTCGTGTAATTGAACGGAAGCCAGAATTGGTGACATAAGACCTCAAGAAGCAGGTATTGGTGATATGAGACTTCAAGGAGCAACCTTAAACTTGGCTACACAAGGATGATTTAAGAGGCACCCACCACACCACTGAGCGCGCAGCTGATCATGTTCTCTTTTATACGCCCGTAGAGTATATGCAGACGAGCAACCAACAGGATCAACCACACCTGGGAATTTTCCCAAAGAAAGAACTTTATGTGATTATTGGATGAATTGTATTCGGATGCTTTAGAAGAAGATCGTAGTGATGGAAGAAGCATGCTAAAGAAGATCTTGTCAGGACCTGTACATACGCTTGCTAGACTCCAATTTCGGCGGATTTTTGGGGTAGACTTGGAATGCACCAAGTGATGATGGGTCGACCCTGGAGGAATAGTAGAATCTTGTAATCTGCGCAACGTGGCTTTCACGGACCCTGACGACCGCGTCATCTGGTGCGGCCCACACGCCATCTGACCCTCTCTCAGCGGTAAGTGTTACCCATGGTTTCTGCGTAAAATAGCAAAATATCATGCATCTGTAACGCAGCCAATTACTCATTTGACGGCATTTGTGTATATTTAGCCACTGTTTTCGTAGAGCGACCAAAAACGCGCAGATGAGGAATCGCGCTAGATGAGAATGAAAGTAAATCATTTCAGAACCCAAGTGTTGGGAAGTGGGACTGAAAAATATTGATAAAAATGACAAACCCAAAAGGTTGACTGCCATCTTAGAGGTCATCACGAGAAAAACTCCATTAGAACTCCATTGTAACTTTGAGAGAGTATTTTTGCACATCCTGCAGAGCAAACGAGAACAATGAAACTTGCCTGCGAAAGGAAGCACGCTCCGATGGTCTGTATTCTTGTACATTGTGTACAGATCATTGAAGATACCCCACATAGGCTCGCTAACATACGATGTCAAAAGTGACTGCATAAGGACGATAATATCACAGTAGAAATCTGGAACGACACTATCATAAAAAGTGTAAAACTAAGCACGAGTTTTCCAAATTCGCAAGTAAAAAAAGCTACGATGAACTTCAAGAGAAAGTTCTAATATATCCTAGATAAATGAAGCGAATATGCCTCTGCTCATAAAGAGTGTCCGCTTTTGATACGATATTTGAAGCTTGATAACTTTTCTTGCGATCGAAAGATTCCATGCAAAACTGACGACAGCATTCTAGAACTGCATTCCATCTGCTCGCGAACAAATGTATTAGGGGAGAGTTGCAGAACGTCAGCAACCATTGTGCAATGCTCGACGCAAAGAATGATCGGAGGGCTATTTCGAGGTTTTGCCAATCATTTATTAGGCAGAGGAGGTTAACTGCTAACGAAGGAGAACCTAGGTGCTTTGGGTTTTGTACCATTGAAGTGTATCACTATAACCAAACACTACTGCTTCCATGTACGAAGCCGGTAAACTGGGACTGCTTCAAGGGTTCCTCTAAGAAGGTTCATATTAGATCATAAAGCCAAGAGTCGTTAGGTGCCAAGAAGCAACCCCTTCCAGAATGAGAAAGAGGAATCCCCAAGCGCAGGAGGCGCTAAGGCCTTGCCTTTGTGTTGCCGTGCTGTAATCCTTATCAATAGCGGCATACGTGGCGTCTGCGCCATCTCGCGCACAGCATTTTCTCGCGTTTTCCCTCGCCTCGCAGCGCTGTACCTCTCCAATATACCACGGCCGACCTCAAAAGGGAAATCTAAACGTTTTCTATGGTGCTTACCGCTTATTCTCCCTAGAAACGTTCCCATTGCACTTCTTGTTTAATTTTAGAACAAAATAACACCACTTCGATCCGGATTCATGCTTTTGAAGTGGGTGAACGCGCTGGGTACCAAAGTCTGAAGAATGGCAGTATGACTAACGAGACCAGGAGACAGGGTCAACCGTCCGTTCGAACTGTTCGACGAAGGGGTCGCATTTTGTCGGAAGGGGGTCGCAATTTCGAGGACTGCCAGCCACAGGCGCGTGCGTGGCGTATCCGAGGGCAAGAATTATTTGTCCAGACCGCATTAGATTTCTCGGGGCTGAAATTAAAGTTCTTCGGGACCAAAAAAAAAGTGTTCGGCAAAACCCAAAATGTTCGAACGTATGATTTTCTCGGAATATGAACATTGAAAAACGATCTAAGGCTTGTTAGAAAGAGCTAATCCTGTACATTCACCCCATGAAAAAAGTGCATCACAGAAATGAAAATGAAGTGAGTTATGGTCGCTGAAAGCCCAAAAACTCGCTTTTGCACGAAAAATGTTCGAACGGGACAATTTTTTTAGAAGGGGGACAATCACTAAATTTTTTATATCGTTTTGTTAGAGAGATATTTAAAGTTTCTAAAACCTTTTACTGATTTCCAAAATGTCGCATACGAAAGATTTTATGGGCCTTCAAAGTTGAAGGTGCGCCTTCTTAGAATTTTGGGTTTTCCACTTCTAACAGAAGTACTTTCCGGATAGTTAGACAATCCTTGTAGTTTTCTGGAAGCGCACTTCAAGTACGATCAAAATCTACCTCAAGAAGTCAAAGAAATATGTCCCAAGAAAGTTATTCCCCTCTAATTTTTCTTCGCCGCGTCCCGTTCTTCCAGCGCCCGGGTGATACCTGCCGCGCTCCTAGGCCGACGCGACGACGCGCAGACGCTTTCTGGCGCAACGGATCCATGTCTAGCACTCTTATTAACAAAAACAGGGGTCGCAACTGGACCCCCTCGAGAGCTAGGGGGTCGCAAAAATCCCGAAAATGTTCGAGCGTGACGGTTGACCCTGCCAGGAGAGCATATTGAAGGTCAGAAGGCAATAAAAGTGGAATTATTCTAGTATTAGTCATGCAACAGGAATAACGCACCTATCTTCTCTTCAGTGAAGATATATCTCACAATCTTCAAAACACTCGGTTCGACTGCTACCATAATCTCGCGGTGATCTTCCACAACCTTAAACACAACATTGAGCTACACCATTAAATTCTCAGAGAAGGCTGAAGAAATTACATCAAGAATGTTGCTGAGAGTGGGCAGAATAGACATCAATGCGTGGGTCTGGTCGCACGCATCTGGACTAGTGATGATCTCCAAGAAGAGGTTGGACTGAAACAAATCGTTAATATCGTACGCAGATGCATCCGACATACCAATTCGCTAAGGCAATCACTCGCCAAGCTCTCCGCTATGTCTGCAGCAATCGGTATGACTGCGTCCATAAAATGTTCCAGAATTTCGTCTACCACTCGGACAACCTCTTCAACCTGCGTCTTTGCAACAAGCTCTAGCACCTGTACTATTATAACCCTAATAGAAGGCTCTATAAGAGCGTGAGCTGAAAAAAGAAACCGAATGATTCCTGAGAAGAAAAGATTTAAAACATGACACGAACCCTTCTCTTGGTCTTTGAGGATGCCCTGAATAGCCAACGCCGATTCGACTTTCACCGGCAGCTCCTCATTCGGATCACAAAGGGAACGAACGAGTGCATCGACAATCTGTAATAATACCAATGAGTTTGTGCTACAAAATCGATCGTTGCAAGGATATGAGCTTTGTTCTTGTGGAGAGCTAACCAAATCGCAGAATCGCAGAAGCCTGCTGATAGAGGTTAAAAAACATGTCTACATATTTAATTGCTCGATACTCTTCCATAATGTATACAAAAAGCCAAAAAGCCAGTATTGCAGAAGTACCTTTGAGAGAATACTCGTTGTACGGAAATGAGCATCACTGTACTGTCTGATGCACCATGCAGCGCGAGCTTTGACGAATTTGTTGGGGTCACTCAAGCGACTGACACAAAGCGTGTCCAGCATGCGCTCCACATCTCCTTTGTATTTCTAAATGTTTGAAAGGATAAGTTAAGTAAACCAAACACACGTTAGAAAGAAGTATTAGGTTCTCCCATGTCTTTGGCCATTTGCAGATTTGTTCAAAATCAACTTTCCCTCTTTGGCACAGTCAGCAATTCACAACCATGTGCCCCACCCCTAATCGACAATATACTGCCTTCTACCAGGTGAACTGTGGATGCCGTTTCCCTAGAAAACTCTTAGCTTCGAGGCGAAAAGGAAGAAGTGCGTTTTCGAGTAGTCCGTATCATAAAGCTGTCCGGTTGCGACACACGTGCACTACACATAAATTTACTTTGCTTTTGATTTCTTACTTGATAACACCTTCCTATGACCAATTCTAGTTTTCACTTTTTATGCTCCTGTCACCTTCCTCACTTCATAGGATTCTGTGATACTTGTAGATTTAATAATTATACAGTGCGTTTCATAATTATATGGTCACCCTAGGATATTGCATTTCCGGAACCAGCAGCCAAATGGTGATTTTTCCATTATCACCAGATGATTCCCCACTACGAATAACCCCTGTATCGTAATTTTGGCGGGAGCAGCTGCTCTTCGAGCTTTTTTTCAATAATTATTTTTCGATTTTTGCACCATAATAATGTATGGTTCCTCCTTTATCAAGGGCAAAACCGAATAGCCTCCGTGGCCTACAGGAATTGAGATTCCAAGGCAGATCACCATCGATTCACTTCCTTTCAAGGGTTGCTTGTGTAGTTTTTCACTGGCGTTAATCCGCACTATTTTTTATGGCGAAGTAGCCCCTGAGATGTTCTACTAGAACATTACTACAACTACAAGATACTTGTTCGTTCATCTGGGTTTCGAGAAAAATGCTGTTTCTGGTTCAATGACCTACATGGGTACCTGTACTGTTATATATAACTACGTAGGCTAGCCGACTTCATCAGCTCAAGGAAAAGTTCGGATGTCCTCGTAAGGCTCTACGCTAATATTTAGATCCATTGTGCAGCTTAAGGAAGCGAAATTTTGACAAAGCATCATTACAAAAAGCACCCACACCTTTCACATCGCCTTAACTAAAACTGCACTCGCTAAACTAAATCGGCCACCTTCGCAAGTCACTGCAGAAGTGTTTATGTCCGCAGGATCTTTTTGTATGAACCAGTTTTGTCCGAAAAATACAAACTTTATTGGTTATCTTGCTGGGTGGTGCAATTACGGCGCAGGCTCAACTTTATTCAATCTCTCTTAGTTCAACTTTACTGGCTAAAATCTTGCCACCTTGCAATGGCCAGTGAGCCTTCGGACCATCTTTGTCGCTTTCCTGGTAATGTTGCTGCATCATTTCACCGCTGTCCAGTTCATGTTTTTCAAGAAAGAAGTATTAAATCAGGGATGATGGCGGTTTAAAGCGAGAACACTGTTTGAGACAGCCCACATAAATCTTCTCAAATTATTAATAGAGACCTTTTTGTAGACGTTCAAAATTTTGTTGAATATCTGGTAACGCAGGTGCTTTTCAACTGTCCATGATTAGTGCTAATGACTGCCCGAAATGCTTTGCAAAGGCTCGCGAACTGTGCCAACCACCATGAAATGCATATACTTTACCTTTTCTTCAAAAAATAAGTACGAAGCATTCCATAAATTTAGCTAATGGGTGTGTTTGTAATAAACAGTCAATTTCACAGGCAGGTTGGTTGTTTCTGATAATGTAGTATTCATTTTCACAGGGTGACCTTATAATTATGAAATGGTGCAAAAACCGAGGAATAATTACAGAGAAGTTGAAAGAAGAGCTGCCCCTCCAGAATTTCAATCCAGGGGTTTTTCATGGTGAAGAATAAGCTGGTAATACTAGAAAAGTTACCAGCCTTCTGCTTGTCCCGGAAATGTAAGATTTCAGGGTGACCTTATAATTATGAAACGCACTGTACAGATATGACCACTTGGTAAAATAGTTCCCTCTCCACGCTTTGAAGAGTCAAAAGAGGAATCATTACGGTGGCAAGCACTACGCGATAAAAAAAGGAATTCAGATGACACACTCTGCTTTTCGTCAACTGCACTTCAAGCTCCCCAATCATACGAAGCGCTCCTTCAACTTCACGTGGATTGGTAGATCGCGTCAACACCTGAAACAAATGCTGCTCAACTAACATTACAAGAACATTAGAAAACGGTAATGAACACATCAAAAACATAAAATAGCGGTTTCAAAAAAAAAATTATACTCTTACATTAATTGCAACAACGCGGCAGGCTGCACAATGTCCTTACGCTTTGCCAACCCACGCAAAAGCGCTCCAGCTTCGCAGACGGGATTATGGAGATCCTCAAAAATGTCTGAAACGAAGCATTAGGAGTACCAATTACAGAACTGCATTGAAGAGATGCAGTTACCTCATCATATTAATATTTGACGTTGACTTAGTGGAGTATACATATGAGAGCAATCACAGGGTGTGCCAAAATTATGAGGACAAAAACATCACGTCGTCAAAAACGCAGAATAGCCGAACAAACGAACTTCAAAAAACTGTTTTCGCTTGGATCACAAAGCAGAACCAGATTAGGATGGAGATCTGCAACCTAGTGCGCTTACACGAGCCATTAGATGAACAGGATTGGTGCATGCGGTGATGTGCAACTAAAGCGTGTCTAAGTAGTCCAGGCTTCTGCTCTGCCATTATCAATGGATCGGAGTCTTTGTTGGGACGTTTTCATTTGCACTTGCCTTCATAGTATATAATATAGGAAATATAGACGGATTAGGTGAGCGGTTTCGAGGGAAATTCTTCGGAAGTACGAACTGGAGAAGTCGCCTTCGCAGATTTTTGCTTTACGACTGAGTTATGCCATGTAAGCACTCTAAATCCAGACAAAGGTGAAGTATAAAGTGCCCAGTTGGGTTTTTATTAAGATGGCAAGAAAATTAGCCATGAGCCACTTGACATTTTTTTTTCCTTTAACCCTTTCCGTACCGCGCACTTTTTGCGCTCACCGCCGCGTGCTGCGCGTCAAGCATAAATATCATATATATAATCCGTATTCCCACTAAAGCCATTATTTTGTCTCATTTGGTATTTGTCATGTCTAAAAGTATATATTAGGTTATTTGACATGAAATTTTGATGGAATGAAGGTGATAGGGAAATAAAAGGAGAAGAAGGGACGAAAATTGTTCGAAGTAAGTTGGTGTAGGAAAAAGGGTCTAGAGCGTGCCCAATACGCTTGGATTAAAAAGTATCAGATACAACGAGCACGACATTTCATAAATTCTTCGGTATGAAGTGTATTCAGCGAATTACTACTGGTTTCTTTACGCTCAAAGTGGAAGACCATTTACTTTTTAGCTATTTTAGGAGCTAGATTAAGACTGAAGTCTAGGTTTTTTCATACGCCTAGCATGAGTGTGCTATATACACTACGTTTCATAATTATAGGTCCACCCTAAATTTTTGCTATTCCAAAGTTGCAGTGCATTTTTGGGAAATGCCGCTATCACCAATACTTTCCCCATAACGGAAAACCTTGATAATCGATTTTTGGAGTAATCTCGACCTAGAACTATTAAAATATCTTCTTTAGAACGTATTTTCACCGTTTCGCAAATATGACTATACATCACTTGTCGAGAGATTTTATTGTAACAAAGAAACGTCACAAATTTTCAATGATAGGATGGTCCTCCATTAATCATAAGGTACAAATAATACGTTTTGGAATGCTGGTTACCAAATTAGCTATTACATTAGAGTGGAAATTTGTCTGTGCGCTGATGATCGACGTTTTCAGCTCTTCGGCTGTTCCATTTTGCTTTTCTTTGCTGTGAAACTTTATAGCAATTAAGGCTTTACGATTCTCTATTGGAATCTGATTCAGATAAGAAGTTGGACACCAGATTACTGCCACATTTTTTCCTGCACTTCCATCTAGTGTGAAAGGACCGGCATGGACGGCCCCGTTATCGTGCGTAAAAACCAGGGTTCGAGGGGACTGCTGTCGAGAAAATGGTAAAAATCGCACCAAAAGACTTTATGATACCCTGTGGAATCCTTGTAAATGGAAACAAATATGAGCTCAAGCCGCTCAGCCGTTCGAAGGTGCCTCAAACCATAAGGGATTCCCCGCCGAAATTGCGTACTTTAAAACCATCTGCGATTTTCATGCGATCATCCTGTACACTCTTTTCCTGCCATACCCACCTAGAATAAACTTTTCCACGTCGATCTCAGACCACCTGTAGGACGAAACAAGGAGGTAGAGTCCAAGATCGCGAAGGGTCTCAAAAGCCACACCATCGCTCATTAAGTTGAGCCCTTTTCCACGGAGAAAGGAGACCTGCGATCTTGTAGCGCTCAAGCAATCTTGGAACGCTCTTCGTCAATCCGTTGAAGATGTTATTGCTCTGCTGGCTTACTCACCACA